CATTTTTTGACCGATTTTCAAAAACGAAACGGGGATTTGTTCGTTTTTAAATGCTTATTACGAAAACAAATATGCCCAACCCTCTTTTTGGTTTGCCTAACTTTCAGGGGCAAAAAATGACTAAATTTCGGCCCAAATTGGCAATAGTTTCAGTTTGTAGGCCGCTTCAGCCACTCCAAGTGCACCCTGTCAGCATGGCGGGGTGCCCCCACCACAAGGCAAGCCCCATGAACAGAATTGGGATGCCGAGTGCAATTTGCCTACCTCCCAGAGGCATCAAATTGTGGATTTCTTCGAAAATCTATCAAAACTGATGTCTCTTGGGGCCTCTGGGCACTCAGATGGGCACACTTTCACACGGTTTGATACCCACACTACGTGATATGAACGTTATGGACGTTGTTGACGCGAGGGACCGCAAACCACGCAAGGCCACAAAAAAAAACCATCAAAATGAAGGAATTTTCTAAATTTTTACGTTTTTTGGTCCTGAGAGGTAGGCATGAGGTGCTTAACAGTCCATTCCTATTCTTTGTTCTTTTTACGTAGTGCGGGTACCGAACCGTGTGAAAGGGTGCCCATCTGAGTGTCCAGAGGCCCCAAGAGACATCACTATTGATAGGTTTTCGAAAAAAATCCACAATTGGATGCCCCTGGGAGATAGGCAAATTGCACCCGGCATCCCAATTCTGTTCATGGGGCTTGCCTTGTGGTGGGGGCACCCCGCCATGCTGACAGGGTGCACTTGGAGTGGCTGAAGCGGCCTACAAACTGAAACTATTGCCAATTTGGGCCGAAATTTAGTCATTTTTTGCCCCTGAAAGTTAGGCAAACCAAAAAGAGGGTTGGGCATATTTGTTTTCGTAATAAGCATTTAAAAACGAACAAATCCCCGTTTCGTTTTTGAAAATCGGTCAAAAAATGACCGAGTTACGATTTTTTCCTATTAATAGCACTGTTAAAAACTTTGAGGGCTCTGCGGAGGTCCTAAAAATCATTTTTTCGAAAAAGGAAAAAACACGTATTTCATATTTTTCGATGTAGAATCCAAATCCGGGCGGCGTTGGACGATCCGAGCAACTTCATATTTTTTTGGACCACCCTACCCGGGGGGGGGGGGGGGGGGGGCGCTTGTGGGTCGGGGCCGTCCGATGAATTTCCCGCTCGGGCCGTTTGGGTCCCAGTCCGCCCCTGCTAAAGAGTCATCCTCGCCTACGGTCGGGTCAGATTTTCTCCGGAAAATTTGATGCGTTAAATTTCTAGCTTTGAAATTTTGAATGAAGTTGAGCCGCATTCAGAGCGGCTGTGCGCAAGGTATGGAAATTTGGCGGCTGCCCTTTAGGTAATCTTGTTCTGTAACGCGTCTCCAATTTTCACGTCGATGCCTATAACGATGCGCCGTAATTTTACCGAACCGTGAACCTCAACATCCAGAGGTCTCCCCGCCTGCTGGCCTGGCCGGGGGAATAAGGGATCGGCCCCCCGGTGCTCCCGTCCCCCGCGCCACTCCACCTCCACGCTCCGCCCGGCCTGGCCGTCCTGACGGCGCTCTCGGTGCGTGTCTGCGTGTCGCCAGTGTCAAACTGTCTTCCGATTCATACCGCACCGCTCAGCATTTCGCGTCCCGTCCCCTGGCCAGGGCTGGACGAAGGCGCGAGGCGTATGCCGGAGGGAAAACCACACGGCAAAAACGGAACCTGGTTTTCCCAGGAAGCCTATGGTAAAGGCATAGGCGATTTCCAGGGAGTTCCTGGGAAAACCAGGAACCGTTTTCACCGTGCAGGTGCATCGCAGTGTCAGACTTGATGATGCACTTTGCTCGGGGTTCCCACCAGTTCACCTGGCGGTCGTCAACGGAATTAACAAAACTTAATAAATGTAATAAGCGTTCACATCAGGTGTACAAATTCTTTGAAGTTATTACCAGGGCCAAAGAAAGGACCTAATCATGCACGTTTGTTCTACCTGCTTGTCGCGCCTGTTTCTCTCCGTTTGTCTCCTCTCCGTCTCCGTTCTTCCTGCCCTGCCTCCGTGCCTGTTCCTCTTTACTCCCTCTTCAGAGCCTGCGCGGCAACCCTTTGAGTTTCGCGTGTTGCGATACGGCAGTCACAACACTCAGTCAGGGGACGCGTCATCAAGCACGCGGTGGAAAACGCGCCACGGCTGTGGCTTCCGCGTAGTGTTCCGGATTGGGTGGGCGGTCAAAACCCGATGACTCCAGAGCGACTCTAGAACTCGGCCGGTGAATGCAGTGCCGCCCGCAGGCACTGCCGACGGGCTAGCTCAGGTCCTACGCTAGCCTGCTGACAGTGTCTGTTGGCGGCACTGCATACACCGGCCGAGTTCTAGAGTCGCTCTGGAGTCATCGGGTTTTGACCGCCCACCCAATCCGGAACACTACTTCCGCGCCCGCCAGGTTTTTACGTCTTAGTTTGAAAAAAATAAAAATATAAATTTTTAACGCGGTGACTGCCCGAGGCAAATAGAGGTAGGCGCTTGAACAAAATTTCTCCGTTGAGCTGTAATCAACTGTATTGAACATTAATAACTTGACTAGAAGCCACCTTGTTACCACCTAAATAAAATTCTCGTTTTGGTCTTCCATTCGGTACGCGCTTCCACCATACGCGCGGCCGGCAACCGTGGCCCCGCAGGCCCGGCAAGCTGGTCTCGAGACGCGAAATGCTGAGCGGTGCGGTATGAATCGGAAGACAGTTTGACACACTGGCGACACGCAGACACGCACCGAGAGCGCCGTCAGGACGGCGAGGCGAAGCGCGGCGGGTGGAGTGGCGAGGGGGACGCGGCCACTGGGGACCGGTCCCTTAGTTCCCCCGGCCAGGCCAGCAGGCGGGGAGACCTCTGCCTTCAGCAGGCGGTCCTCGCCGAAATCAACAACATTCGATGGCAATGAAATTTGTTCAAATTGGTGTAACAGTCTATTTTTTACAAAGTTTAAACTAACACAAAGGGCAAAGTAAAACCCAAAACTATCATAAATTAAATAAAACATAATTGGCTGAGCCCCCTATTCCTTTCACTGAAACTAAAACTTAAACTAGCGAAGCCCTTTAGTCCGGCCCAGAGACCCTCCCGAGTGAACCACGACGAAAGTGGCACCTCGCAATGTAGGCAACCTTTGAACGTATCGGTGGGAACAAAAGTGGTAGTGTTAAGCGTTGAAATTAACTAAGTAGGTGCCTTTGATGAATTTTTATAATGATCAGAACCCAATTTTTCAAAATGAACGAACAAACATTCGATTCGAGCTGGTAAAACGTTTAGTTTCGTTCACTGTTCAAGTGAAGTTTTCAGGTTGGCAACGATAAAAGTCGGGTGCAGTTTAGAAGCGTCGTTGAATTGCAACCCCGGTGGGTTTTGTAAACTGACCACAACAACACGAACAACACATACGGAGGCGGTAGTCGGCACTAGCGTTCACACTAGATAAAGTCAAAACTTAAAAAATGAAGTTGCAAATTACAAGTTAACATTCATATTGACAAGATTAAAAACTAATAATAAACTATGATCATTATTATAAATCTTAAAAAGTTTTAATCTGTAAGTGGTAGTATTTCTTCTTGTGGCAGCGCTCAGTCATGAACAATAAGAATTCGCTTCCCAAGTTTTAAAGTTCCACAGTTTTATAAATTGTGTGTCTATCAACAAAAGTAATAATTTTTAACTGCTAAATTGACATTGGGAGGCACATGCTAACCATTCAACCCAGTTAAGAACCTTATCGTGCACATTTTGACTATATCTCTAAAAATCTTCTGACGCTTATTATTTTAACGTAAAAGGTTGGTCTTCACATTTTTACCTCTACGATTCATTTTGAAAAGATTGTGGAAACCACAACTCTTTGTGTCCATGATGTTACCTTCAACAAAGCTTTTCAAGCTGTGATGTATATAAAACTTGAATATATTATAGATTTTTGTTAAATTTTAGTTAAATATTTCCCATGGGATCTCAACCTCTATTTCAATCTTCAGTTCAAGCTACTGCTGATTGCGCTTTATGTGGGGTGAAAGGCGGTCTTTGAGTCATGGAGTTTTCGGTGCATGAGGGATGTTACGATGTGAAGCCAAAGAACTGTATTTCAAAATTTTCCATGGGGACTTAAACTCCATCTCAAACTTTGACCTGCTTACATGGGGCGGTGAGAAAAATAAGTTGTAACAAATGACTTCTTTGGTGAATACAAACAAAAAATTATAAAACCCCGTCCTGAACTAGGAAAACAAAGTGGAAATACTGTTAATCCCACCTTCAAACTTAGAAAAATTAATAAGTATAATCAAAGTACAGAAAACAAATTATTTTATCTTTATGAAATGTCAACTTGCAAGTGGGAACTTAGGCTCAGCCTTAAGTTTAGACTTTACCTAGTTACATGGCTCCAGACCCATACCAGATAGACGACCTAGAGACTCTCGACCCTGTCTCCCCGCCTGCTGGCCTGTCGGACAAACTGGTGACACTCAGACACGCACCGAGCAGGCCGGCCGGGCGGGAGAGCGCGGCGCGCGGCGGGCTTATCTCGCAGTGTCAAATTACGGCGCACGGCTGCTACCGCGACAGAACGCTGCGCCGAGTCCCCCCGCCCCAGTACCGGCAACAACTGTTTAAAGAGTACTATATTTATATTTTTAAATGTGATTGGCCATCGGCGCAGCCTTGTGGTGTAAGAAGGAAATTGATACTAAACACAAGGCTTGCGTGCCCCAGAAAATACACATACTTCTAAGTCAGTTGATTGAATGCATATGTCTGCAGGTTACACTGTCATCCCAGTAGTAAGTTTACTTGCCACGGATTTGGCAAGCCGTTTTGAGTGCAAAAAATTGGCAAACTTGGCCCGGAAATACTCCCCAGCCCGGAATTACTCCTCAGCTTGCCAAAATTTGGCAAGCTTATGACGAGTGCCGACCAAAGCTTGCCAAATTTTGGCATTCAAAACGGCTTGCCAAATTTGTGGCAAGCAAACTTACCACTGGCTTTGCAGTGTCTTTGCAATATCTAAATATAAGGCATGTTCAATAATGCATTATGTTAGACAATTTAATTTTAAAAAATGTGTCACGTTAAGCTTGTTTTTTCCTTCTTTTTTGGGAGGTGAACTGTCACTCTTTCGCATTGCAGTACTTAGAAATTTTTAAAGAAACACACGGTAATCTTTGACTAAAATTGAGGAGCATTGTTTTCCTCTAAAGAATTGCTTCTAGTTCCTCGTACCCAAAACACACGCGACTTATCTCCTAATCTTTCAAACAATTTTATTTGCTAAAGGGGACAAATCGACATAACCCCAACGGGGAAAAACACCCGAGAGATAAGTCAACTTAGCTCATAGAGTGCATGAGTGTACAAGGGACAAGTCGACATGTCCCTAAAAACCTTAAGCTTCAGAGAGTTAAGTCGACTTAACTCTTTCAGCGCGTGAATGCGCAGAGGATAAGTCGACATAGCTCCAAGTGCTCTCAGGTCCGGAAAGATAAGTCGAAATAACTCGTTGGGTGCGTGAGTGGGCAGTGGGACAAGTCGACTTGTCTCGTTTGGACCGGCGCGACCAAACGAGATAAGTCAGAGTCTTGACATATCTACAAAACCATTAACGCTTTGTTGAAATGACTTTTTCTACGTTGATCAGCATTGCAAAGCGAACAAGATGGCGCACCCGAAGTATAGATTATTATACGGGAACATGTTTTTCGCCTCTCCTGAAAAATCGTGTTTTTCGACTTATCCCCTTTTTCCGCTTCGCCACTGGGGAGCCAAACGCAACTAGAGCGACATGTTCATACTGTTAATGCCCAGCACCAGCTTGTCACCTCTAGTAAAACTTATTTGTTTTCTGTTTTGATCCACTGTGAATCGGATGGAAAGACTTCGCGCCAAAATATGACATGAAAGTCTTGCCAATTTTCGGTCAGACCTGAAAGTCTCGCCAAAATTTGGTAAGACAAAAAGGTCTCGCCACTAAACGGTCAGACACAAAAGTCTCGCTACAAAATGGCGAGACTTTTGTGTCTGACCACGGCTTTAAGGCCGTCAACGTCCGGCGCATTACGGCCTTCAGGTGGCGGTCAGACACAAAAGTCTCGCCATTTTGTGGTGAGACTTTTGTGTCTGACCGTTTTGTGGCAAGACCTTAATTAAATAAGGGTTTATTACCTTCATCGTCAATAAACAAATTTACAAAAGGACAGCAACATGAAGAAAAAGAATTTTTTTTGGCCCTAATTGAATGCAATCTTCACAGACCGTTCTGCTATCTTTATAATGTGGGTCCCCTGGAAAGGATATCATGTGTCAAAGCCAAAGTTCTAAATAAAAAATAACCCCTGCTCTGTATCTACCTTTTAACAAATTGAGAGTATGACCTATTTCTAGATTTAAACAAGAGATAGTGAAAAAGTATTTCAAACGTAGTTAAAAATTAATTCAACCACCACTTTCAAACTAAAATCCGGTCATACGGCACTGCTCTTGATTGAGTGCTGCTGTCTTTTGAATGTCGGCCCCATGGAAGGATGTTACGTGTTGAAGCCAAAGACCTTAATCTCAAAACAATCCCTGGAAACTTCATCATTTCTTTAAATCAGTCTTCAATGCATTGAGTGAGTGAGTGAGTGAGTGACTTCCTTCAGGTTTTAACACCAGATGATATAGAAGACGATACAAGGTATGTTTACGCCAGACCGCGTCTTGTCGTAACAGGCTTCGCGATGTCTCGCTGCCTGTTTCTCCAATCCGCGCCTGGCGTACCTACCTTGGCCTGCGGCGCTAGCCTGCCTTCGGCCCGCAATGGCTTCTCCATCGTCGATTTTCCTAACTTGTTGCATGCTGGGCCCCCCAGACCCCCCTTCATTCTAGATGGAGTTGCTTCATCTGCAGATAACGCGATCTTGACCCTTGTAGCTTTTTCACTTGTCCTGGCTGGGGGGCTCCGCCCCCCAGATCCCCCTTTCTTCAAGACAGAGGCGATTTGCATACAGAAAACTCGATTTTTCGCCGTTTTTTAAGTGTTTTTCGGCTTTAAAAACCAAACTACTTGAGCTCGGATGGTGAAATTTTGCGTGTGCCGAGCCAAGGACATACCTAATAAGCCTGCAAAATCTCAGCCAGATCGGCCGAGCCGTTCAGGAGGAGTAGTGTACACACACGCACAGACAGACACACAGACAGACAGACAGACAGGAAAAAATTTTCAACACCACTGGAGTAACAGGCTTCGCTATCGCTCAGCCAATGACTGAAAGATGTCACAGAAATAAATAGACCTGCTTAATTAAATAAGGGTTTATTACCTTCATCGTCAATAAACAAATTTACAAAAGGACAGCAACATGAAGAAAAAGAATAAGAAATACTAAGATTATAATACTGTCAATTTTTTTAACATAATGCTACTTGTCTTGACCTATGTTGCAGACATTTGACATTTCGACGGTCCCTATCGATAAGCTCTCATCTTTGGGTGCCTCTCTAGTACGCGCGCAAGTCGCAGGCAATTCGTAAAAGCGTTGCAGCTTCCGCGCGCCCGTCCAGACAGTCGTATCTTTCGCGCCGCGCAGCGAAGGAGCGCAAGTCTCGCCGGCGCAGCCGAACCATCGCATCTCACTGGGCCCTCGGAGAATCATCGCAAGTTTCTCCGGCTAGAACGTACTGTAGTATCTCGTTTTCTGCTGTTTTGCTGCAACTCAAAATGAAAGTTCAAGTACATTGGACAATTCATGCACATTAAAAATGGTTTCGCATCGCACGTCATTAATTTTATTTAGGTTTTGGGCAAACATTTTGCAAGTGCTCACGTTTGTAAATGCCCTAATTAAAAAGTTGTACTGGAAATAAGATGAGGGTGCGTTCAGTCCTTCTGAGATTTCTACTTTTTTGCATTGGTAAGTTAGATTTTCATCATATTTTGATGTTGTGTGGGCTTAGAATAAAACCTCTGACCATTCTAATAACTCCGAATCGTGTGTCGTAGCGTTTTACATTCACAAGGTAGGTTTACGCCAGACCGCGTCTTGTAACAGGCTTCGCGATGTTTCGCGGCTTGTTCCTCCAATCCGCGCCTGGCGTACCTACCTTGGCCTGCGGCGCTAGCCTGCCTTCGGCAGGCAATGTTTGCCCATCATCAGTGACTTCTGATTTGTTGCATGCTGGAGGGCTCCGCCCCCAGACCCCCTTCACTCTTTATAGAGTTGCTTCATCTACAAATTACACGACCTTGACCCTTGTAACTTTTCAACTTGTCAGGTTGGGGGGCTCCGCCCCCCAGACCCCCCTTTCATCAAGACAGGAGAGATCTACCTGCAGGAAACTCGATTTTTCGCCATTTTTTAGGTGTTTTTCGGCTATAAAAACTGAACCAGTTGAGCTAGAGAAGTGAAATTTCGCGTGTGCCGAGCCAAGAACATACCTAATAAGCCTGCAAAATCTCAGCCAGATCGGCCGAGCCGTTCAGGAGGAGTAGTGTACACAGACAGACAGACAGACAGAAAAAGTTTTTCAACCCCACTGGAGTAACATAAACATAAAAAATTTGTGCTGCATTTAAATTAATGATAAGAATGCAATCACTGTCATTCTTAATTATAGATGAACAGAACATAAATTGACATTACCTTCTTCTAACAAAATTGATTCATCGTGATTGAAATCCATAGTTCCTTCATCCTCTCCTTCTTCATTAGAATATGATGCTACAATCTGGAATTCTTCTGCAATGGAGTTGAGGTCTTCCACATTAATGGGGGTAGTCAAAATGTCCAGCGGTTGCTCAGGTGTGCCAATGTAGTCAAATGCACTCAGCAAGTTCCTTTTTGCATTTGCACTCTCTGTACCTACACCAAGCAAAATAAAGAAATTAGAATGTGTATTTAAACTAAGCTCAGCAATACATCACTTAGAAAAATATTTTACTAACCTGCTCCTGTTTCATTTTCATCTTGCTTTTGCAAAGAAAGGGATGCTCCTTCTGGGGACTCCGCATCAAACAAATCCAAAGGAACTAAAGCAGCAAGTTCTTTTGCTGGTGTATGGCTCTGATCAGTGTGGCTTACACCTCCTGCCTGAACAGCAGTGGCGGCACCTGGGTAACAGATAGAGTAGTGAGAGTTAATACTCTGACAGTCACAACATCAACAATATACTTTGAATGCAACAAGGAGACAAAGGTATAGTAACATTATTTTGTTATAACATTCAATAAAATTAGTTAAGACAAAGCACCATTCACCTTTAATAATTATTTATCTCAAACTAAAATAAATTATAAAGGTGCTCATACAATGATCTCATCATTCACCTGCTCCCCACTCATTAGGTTTTTTGCAATGACATTTGTAAGGACTTGTAAACAATATGTTTACTCTCTGTAAAGAAAATGTAATTCAGTATTTTAGGGAACACGATTCCTTATGCCCTTAAACTTATATAACTCTTTTCTTTCCCATATAATAAATAATATAGGCAAAATAAATTTGTCAATTTAAATAAGGTAAATCAGACAATTTTATATCTGTTGTATCATCATAAATATTTTGATGAGCAGACTAAAAATAGTTCTGGAGCATGAGAAATACTGTTTTCTACTAGACTGGAACTCATTTTGATCACAGATTGTATCCATATGGCCAACAAGTCCTTACCAATGATATAGGTGCGAGAGTGACTCATTTTCTTGTACTTTTGAGAGAGCCTTACCAAGGAATAAAAAGAGCTGTATGAAATTTGTTAAGTTTATGAAGCACATGAAGATGTGCACAATCAAAGAAACATAACTATATTTCTGTAAGTTGAAGAGCATGGCACAAGGCTGGATCCCCGTTGACTACAAATTTGGCTTGTTTTGAAAGGATCACTGCCACTGCAGCTATGTGCCATACTGTTTAACTTACAGAAATATAGTTATGTTTCTTTGATTGTGCACATCTTGATGTGCTCCATAAACTTAACAGATTTCATACAGCTCTTTTTATTCCTTGGTAAGGCTCTCTCAAAAGTACAAGAAAATGAGTCACTCTCGTAACTTTTATCGGAGGAACACTCTTGATTTCCTTGATACTCATGATCTAATACCATGAAACAAATTACTCGTTTCAAGTAAGTGAGTGAAAGGGATGAGCACAATGTAGTGTCACCTTAAAAAAGAAGACAAACAATTTATTTTAATAAGTTCTTGTCACCTGTGGTCTCGTTCAAGCTGCTGAACAAAGTTTCAAGAAAATTTGTGTCTCGCTCAACCATAAAAGTCAGACAGGGACTCGAAGCTGGTGTGATGGGCGTTGAAGCTGGCTGGCGCTTTAATGGCACTAGACTTGCAGTCGGATTGACATTTGCACTTGCAGGTGGTGTGATTTCTGTTGGAGCTCGGTCTAAATTTGAAGTTGAACCGGGGTTTGCTTCTGGAGCCCGGTTTGATCCTGCAACAGTATTTAAATAGATAAGCAACTGTAAAGTAGACGAAATGTTTAAAGAGTGTTAAAGAAAGTAAATAAAATGAGACTACTTGAGTGAGCAATCATGATCTCAAATTTTATTGGGCTGCTACAGTGTGTATCACTCACCATGTTCCTGAGGAGCAGAACGGTTCTGGAGACGAGGCACAGTGATGGGTGGTTTCGGGTTCCCTGAAACATTTAAAATGATTGAATCACAAAGTTAAAAATTCCATTCTTAGGTAAAATTGACTGAAAAAAGAGAGACAGAATCAAAAGATTTCTAGTTATGAGTTCAATCCAATCTCAGTGAATGTGATGTAAGTTTGAATCACTGGTCATTTGACAAAGTGGTGTAAGTCCACCAGGAGCCACATTCTTTCTTTGTAAAAATGTTTCGGTGCAGCCACTAATTAGGAACGCCTTCAGAATCATTGCAGAGTTTGGTACATCTGGTCACTGTGCTTGGTATAGGTACCAGTGGAATGCCGTACATGTCTAGTCTTTAAAGAGACAGCAGGTGGCAGAGTGAGAATAATAATTGATAGATGACTTAGAGACTAGTAAACAATTGAGGTGAACTATAGCAGAACCAAGGAATAAAGAGTATTTTTAGCAAAAATGGTTGAATTACGAAGACTAGAGATAGGTTAGCTGACATCAAGCTGGAAAGAAATTCCTTCATCGCATCGGTTCAACTCACCCTTTTTATTTACATCAACGGCTGCCATGAGGCCAGCTTTAAACTGAGAACGCCTTGACATTTCTAAGGCATTCGGAACAAGAAACTTGAATAACCGAACGTGACTTTGACACCAAAGCTCACTCCACTTTAACGCTGAAGGCGAAGCGCTCGCTGGGAGTGCGAGCCCGAGCACTGCGAGCGGTGGAGGAGTGCAACAGAGATACGACAGTATAGAACGGGGAGCGGCCGGCCTCGAGCGCTCAGCTTCCATTTTCAAATGAAGATTACTAGGAAAAGCTACCGCTTCAGGCTGAGCCTAAGGGCTCCTACGTTTACATATTTGTAATTTATTTTTCAAATTTTCCTCTATGTCGCTAAGAAAGTGACAATTTTTAAGCATTTGTTTAATTTATTAAGGATGTTTCTGGATTAATTTAACAGTGCTGTCATTTTTACTATGACGTCGCACCGTATCCAGGTTGAAAAAAATTCTATTGTGTTCCAGAAAGTGGGTCTGTGACGATCATTGATGTCTTTGACGCTAGGTGGGCTCGGCTGGAACAGGAATCAGCCCAGTGGGTAGGCAACCCATCGTGCCTCGTGAAGCGTGCGGCGATACCCCGTGCCGCTAGGATTTTAGCTCTGTACATTTATTTAATTTATGACCTTGTACTGCAAAGGCCACCTAACATCTCTAGATTAAGGAGGCTGTCAAGTGAAACTAGAATGTCCTAAAAGTATTTGTCACAGAAAGTTCATTTTGTGGTCAAAATTCAACCACTACTAGGTGAATTTATTTCTGAAGTTGGGAGCCCCAACTCCTATTAGTTTCTGAGTTATGGATGTTTACGTTAACTTTTAGTCGTTTCTCCCAAATTCTCCTCATGACAAATGATTTGCTACCCAGTCTTCAGATTCGGACAAGTACATCTATTATTGCACTGGAAAAAGATGGCGTGGGCAAATTTGAAAATATCAGTCTGGAAGAGGCTGTAAAAGCTATTTCACCAGGCCCATTTTTATCTTTCTTCAAATTTGAGAGATTTTGTCTTATTTTGGTCTTAGAATTTTGAAGAAAACTAAGTGACATATTGAAAAAAGGGCAACGCTATATTTTCCCTAGGCAAAGAAGAATACAATTGCTTGAATCTGGGGACTGGGTAGCTAATCCTTTGTCGTGAGGAGAATTTGAGAGAAACGACTGAAAGTTACCGTAAACATCCATAACTCGGAAACTAAAATGAAGTGGGGCCCTGCTCTTAGTGTATGAGTTTATGCAATAGAAAGGAACTTTTATCCATAAATTAAGACATTTGACACAAGTAAATAAAAAATATTAAATAGTCACTTTTTTCACTTTACAATAACCTTAACAGGAACTTCTTTGATTGCATATAAGTCAATACAATACAGATGTAATGACAATGTTTCCGTCAGTTTCACATTACAAATAAAAGCTAAGGAACGTCATTGGTTGCAAAGGTATCAAGTTCTCTATCAGATAGATTGTAGCTGTTTGTTCTTTTTCTAGTTGCCTTTGTGCAACCCACACAACTGCGCACCAACAGTTTATGTGTAATTTTAAGAACAAGTGGCAAAGGCCACCTAACACATAACATCCCCCTAGGCAGGCAGAACGCCTACCCCAACAGAACGCCTTTGCGCACAGAACGCCTTTAAGCGCTCACAATTTACATCCACCGACAAGAGAAAGTGGCAAGGGCCATATATTCCCCTGAAGATTCTCCTTGTCTCTTTTTATATTTTTGAATGACCGCAGAATAAGGTCTTTAATTTCATTTGATCTATCGCTTGGCATCATAAACTTTTGTGAAATGAATATTAGTCTACAAGAAAAACACAAGACACTGTGATACATGTGCCAGTGTTAGATGTTTGATATGTATGATAATAAATTTCAATCGTTTTACAGAAACTACTTTGAATGCATAACCAATCAAATATGGTAAAATATTATTCCATTATTAAGATTAAGATTATGAACGGTGAGATGTGTCAATAGAATGCAGGTTTCATGTACTCATTTCCTTCGATTCCACGTTACAATTATGGTGAACGAACAATCATAAGTACAGTTAAAGTGTCAAGTCATCTGAAAGAATGTTATTATTTTCTTGAATTCTGCTTTCTGCTCGAACGACTCTGCGCTTCACTATTGGCAGGATCATGCTATTCACAGTTCAGCTAGTGCGCTCTCGCCTTCGCCATTTCACGCCCGTCGTCTTTTCATTTTCACGTAAAGAGTTCAATTTCACGGAAATTAGCGTCAATGTAATCTTTGAACCTTCCTCTTTCCATAAATATACAATTTGTGCCACTTTCGGCGTTCTAACATGCTCAAAGATGCGAGTAAACGACGGCCCGACGATCGTTTTCGCCTTCTCTCGCCTTCGCCATTTCACGCTCCGTCGTCTCCTCATTTTCACATAAAGAGTTTATTTTCGTCAAAATTAGCGTCAATGTAATCTTTGAACCTTCCTCTTTCCATAAATATACAATTTGTGCCACTTTCGGCGTTCTAACATGCTCAAAGATGCGAGTAAACGACGGCCCGACGATCGTTTTCGCCTTCTCTCGCCTTCACCATTTCACGCTCCGTCGTCTCCTCATTTTCACATAAAGAGTTTATTTTCGTCAAAATTAGCGTCAATGTAATCTTTGAACCTTCCTCTTTCCATAAATATACAATTTGTGCCACTTTCGGCGTTCTAACATGCTCAAAGATGCGAGTAAACGACGGCCCGACGATCGTTTTCGCCTTCTCTCGCCTTCGCCATTTCACGCCCGTCGTCTTCTCATTTTCACATAAAGAGTTTATTTTCGTCAAAATTAGCGTCAATGTAATCTTTGAACTTTCCCCTTTCCATGCATATACATTTTATGCTACTTTCGTGGTTTTAACACGCCTAAAGATCGAAAGTAAACTTGACAACCGGCTGGGTCCCGCCAAGTCCCGGCATCTCCACTGGGCTCTGGGCTGTGGGCTGAATGGAGGGCTTCGCCCAGTTAACGTATAAGATAAAGATAAAGATAAAGTTTGGCTCAGCCAATAAAATAACGAAGCAACTGACAGTAAAGCTTATAAGAGCAAAATGAAAGATATTTTTTTGAACTATTTGAATCTGCAAAAATCTCAAAACCCCTCAAAATAGACTTACATTTGTTTGGAGAAGAACGACTAAGATACGCGATTACGTCTGATGCCCAGTGAGATGCGATGGTTCGGCTGCGCCGGCGAGAGTTGCGCTCCTTCGCTGCGCGGCGCGAAAGATACGACTGTCTGGACGGGCGCGCGGAAGCTGCAACGCTTTTACGAAGTGCCTGGGACTTGCGCGCGTACTAGAGAGGCGCCCAAAGATGAGAGCTTATCGATAGGGACCGTCGATTTATGAAAAAAACCACTAAAAAATATAAAATACAGAAACATAGAAATTCTCATAATCAGTCTACACCATATCCTCATTTAAGAAACATTATGATTACAATACTGTCAAATTTTCTAACATAATACTGCTTGTCTTAACCTATGTCGCAGACATTTCACATTGACGAAAAAGAAACACTATAAATTACAGAGACATATAGAAAATTCGCATAATCAGTCAGCACCATATCCGCATTCAACTGGAAAAAAAGACAAATAAATCAGTTACAGCACAGCTGAAAACACAATGAAAACGACCAGAAAAGAAACCAGTCTTTCACTTACATCATGGTAAATTTTAGTCGTGCAACTTGTCCCCATCATCACCAGTTGTGGACAGTCCACCGTTGTTGCCATCCTCCCCTTCATTGCCATTAGTATGCCCCTCACTCTTATCAATAGAGTCATTAAGCTCTGGATAATCAGTCCCATTGGCAAAATGTTGGTCACTCAAAGTGGCTGCAATGCAATTCATTATAATCATTACCACTTACATAACATAGTGCACGCTCATATTCCAGGATAATTAAAAAGGAGTCACTTACATTTTTCAACAACATCCATCCTGAATGAATTATCAAGCATTGTTTCACGATAAATTAAGTATGGATTTTTGGCATTGATCATGTCCTTCTTCCAGTCAGAGAGATCTTCACACTGAATTCTTATGGACTTTTTAAATGCATAAGGACGCATTTTTTATGCATAGTTATGCATGCGCAGAAACGTCCTTAAGGTATGTAAAAAATTATGCATCACAGTGTACTTTTTATGCGTCTTCCTGCATAAAATGTACACAGTGATGCATAATATTATACATAACATATGGACGTTTCTGCGCATGCATAACTATGCATTAAAAAGTCCATAAGAATTTATGTGTTCTGGAGCCAGATACTTCTCCAGCAACTGGACTCGGAATCGCCGTCCATCACAACACTCTACTGTAGTTTGCTGGCCCTTGCCATACTCAGAGTGCTTTGTTTCCGTCATGAACAACATTTTGTGGCTCTTGTTAGGTGCCAGCTTCGACATCGAGATGTATCCAACCCATGACTTGTTGCAAGTCTTCAACTTCTTGTAAGGGCTCGACTGGAAAAGAAACAAGAAGGCGAGAATCAAACTAAGCACCAGTCAAGAACAAGCAAGTACAGAAACCGAACGGCAACGCCTCCTCACGCACTGAACTCAGCGATAGTACCATGCGCTAACAGGTTATGCCACCTACACACACAACCAACATACCGATGATAATGCAAGATTTAACAGATACGAAAATACATAAGCTATTCATGAACCATAGAGCACAAAGAAAGAACGGCATGGCAACGCCTACTGCACGCCCACCAAAAGCAACATGTGCGAAAGGGTTATGCCAGCTACACACACAACCAACATACCGATGATAATGGAAGATTTAATTGAAACACAAAATACATAAGCCATTCATGAACCATGAAGCACAATGAACCGCTTGGCAACGCCTACTGCACGCCCACCGACAGAACATGTGCTAAAGGGGTATGCCCGCTCCACACTCAACTAACATTACTAGGGGTACGCGCCGTTTTGTTTGGGCGCGCAGTAGGCAAGCGATGCGTCCGTATTCTTGTAGGAGATGGTGAAGAATATAT